GCGGCTCAACAGCATTTTTAGAATTGTAGAAGCACCCTCGACTTCACCTCATTTTTTGCAGTTCACCCCCCGAAAATATCGCGAACCACCGTTCACCCAGCGTCCGCTTTTGTCAGATGAGGTATAATCTTGGAACCCTTGCGCCGGCTATAGTGCAAGGGCAAATGCTATCGGAGTCGGGGTAGCCTTAGTTAAAAGGAACTCACACCCAACCGATTTGCAGCCCACCAGCCAATCACTCCACGTAATTTCGCTGGTACGGGGCCCCAACTTTCGCCGCTCGAGTAGATGCCAGGGTCTCCAGAAAATCGAAGATTGCACCAATCGTCGTCGCAGCTCCCCGATAATTTCGTAGTCGTTTCACCCAGCCCAATTTTGTCGGAGTAGAACAGTGCCGCGAACTCCCCTTTTTTGTTTTTCCTGTACAGCTGTGGAACGAGCACCAATCCATGTGCCTTTAACCAGCACAGGGTAGGCACGTGTTCACCCCCGTTATTCGGCCAAGTAGGTCGACTGCATGAGTCGGAACCAGGACTTGGTGGGGATGATGATGTTTGGGCGACGAAGGGCCGCAGGTCGTTTTTATTGCCTTTTACCCTGCTCCTCGCGTCGTTCTTCAACCCCCGCTTAGCCGTCGGGCAGTTTCTTCCCGTGTGTCCCAGCGGCCTGTACCAGACTGTTCCGAAAACGGCGGGGTGGTACTTTGAACACCGTTTAATCGTGGGTCATTGCGGCTATCCCCGAAAATGCCTTCCTTACAGGGAAACCACTCTCGAAATGTTGCCTTGAGGAGAAGAGAGCGTCGGTGGTCGCCTGTCCCCCAAACCACCGTCAGATCGGTCGAGGGTTTCATCTGTGACCATTTGCGTGATTCAGCGCCAGTTATTAGTGACCAAACGCGTTACACCACTTACCAAACACGCGAACACTTCCGATATAGTGACCGTTTGCGCGATCGGGTTACCGTACGCGTTACGGAGCCCCATGTTCGTTACGACTGACATAATTTCCCACGATAAATCATCGGCCAACCAGATGTGAGTTCGGACAGGAACTCGGTGTTCTTCTCCACTTTCGATGGCGAATCACAACTCCCAAGCTAGAAAAAAACAGTCGAAGTCAAAGATAGAAAAAAACAGTCGAAGTCAAAGCACATCGCAAGCACAAGTTGAAGTCAAAACAGATCGCCCGCAAATAAGAAGCCAACCCATTGGAGTCGCGCTTCGCCTCACACACATTCATCTTATCGCGTAGTTACACTCCCGTAGGTTTACGTTCCGAAGGCCCAAACCTAGCGCACCCACTTTTAGGTATGTGTGCCAGAAACCGAAACGCAGCTTTTGGATGAGCAGCCGAGTACAGTAGCAGGAGTTTTGCAACCCCCCATTTTTTAGATGCAGCGGGGTCAATTTTACGGTACCCTATTTCTTCGTAACGGGCAACCGCCGCCTTTGGCTGTTTTTTCTTGATGAGCGTGCGGCATCGATCAGATCCGCACAAGCCATCGGTGGAACAATCATCGGCTAGTCGGAGTGGCCTTGGCGTTTGGATTAGCGGAGAGGAGGAGTTGGATAGAGGGGCGACGGAGATTTCACAGTATCGATGGGTACACCACATCCCTGTCAACGGGAGTAGTGTTTGGCTCTGTCCTCGCTTGGGCGGTGCCGACCGCGGAAGGCCGCGGGGGCCGCGGGAGGCCGCGGGAGGCCGCGGGAGACCGCGGGGCCGCGGGAGACCGCGGGGGCCACGGGAGGCCGCGGGAGACCGCGGGGCCGCGGGAGGCCGCGGGAGGCCGCGGGAGACCGCGGGGCCGCGGGAGACCGCGGAAGGCCGCGGGAGACCGCGGGGCCGCGGGGGACCGCGGAAGGCCGCGGGGGGCGCGGGAGGCCGCGGGAGACCGCGGGGCCGCGGGAGACCGCGGAAGTCCGCGGGGGCCGCGGGAGGCCGCGGGAGGCCGCGGGAGGCCGCGGGAGACCGCGGGGCCGCGGGAGGCCGCGGGAGGCCGCGGGAGACCGCGGGGCCGCGGGAGGCCGCGGGAGGCCGCGGGAGACCGCGGGGCCGCGGCAGGCCGCGGGAGGCCGCGGGAGACCGCGGGGCCGCGGGAGGTCGTGGGGCAACCACGGGACCGCGGGGGCCGCGGGAGGCCGCGGGAGACAACCACGGGACCACGGGACCGCGGGGACCTCGGTGGCCGCGGATGGACGACCGGGGGCCACGGGGGCCGCGGGATACCCGGTCGACCAGGATACCCGGGCGACGTGTGCGAAAGTCGCCGGGGGTGATTTCTGCGAGGACGACCTCGGGGGTGGTATCCCGAGGTCGACGTGGCTGGTGGGCGCCGTCACGGGTGGAGTGTCTGCGCTGGGCATGTGACGGGGCGTTGGGCGCCAACCAGCTGCACGCACCTGCGAAGCTGGTGCACCATTGTCAGGCGGGTGCAACGCTGTGCAGCCGACTTGCTGCAGCGTTGGCACACCGCGGACTTGCAACGTTGGCAAGCCGCGACTTTGCTCTGCTGGAGCGCGGTCGACCAAGTCGTGCTGGCACGCGGTCGACCGTGCTGCGCTGGCAGTCGACCAGCAGCCTTGCTAGGTCTGATGTAGTCTGTGTTGCCAATGTTGATGCTATTATTCCTGAATCATTGTTGTGAACTTTTGCTAGTGAAACTCTTGCCAAATTTCCCTGTGAACCAGCAAGCAGTGCAAGCACAAGTAAATGTCAGAATGTTATATTTCTCTAGTCTACAGTGGGGTACTCTATAGTGAGTATAGCCCTGTCAGGGTTTGCTGTATGTACTCAACTGCCTGCTAGTGAAAACCTCTCTTCTCTGTTTCAATCCTCATTCTATCTTTCACATGGTTTCAGAGCAGGTCGACCCTCCCTGGTCGATCCTGTGGATGGGCCCACCCGATGCTTCCGCTGCTGTACTGGCGTGCGGCGTTTTTCTTTTCTTCCCGCCGCGCGCTCGGGGCGCGCGGCGGTTTTCTGCCCGCCGTGCGCCCCGAGGCGCGCGGCGAATTCCTGCCTCATACGTCACCCCGGGGACCCGCGCGTCCCCCCCGTCGACCGTCGCGCCGCCCCCGGGGACCCGCGCGGCCCTCCCCGTCGACCCGCGCACTGCCCCCGTCGACCCGCGAGTCGCCCCCCGGGGACCCGCGCGCACTGCCCTGTCGACCCGCGCGCTGCCCTGCCCGTCGCCCGTCGCGGCGCCCTGGGGGCCCGCGCGTCGCCCCCTCCCGTCCGTGCCTAGCCCGTAGTCTAGCTCCCGTTGCACTAGTTATCTCCGCAATCCAGAAAATGGGGCTGATCGAAACCTACCGTGAAGCTACTCGTTGGTTGTTGTCCAGGAAACAGCTTTCTAGTTACTAGCGAACCTACTGTCTGGGGCTCGTGCGAGGTTGGGGCTCTCCGAACGTCAACATACGGGAGAGTTTCTTTGTGGGAAGAATGAATGTCTGTGCAGCGAAGTTCCCAACTGAAGGTTGAAGAGTTCTGATTGCACACGAAAAGCAGTAACTCCGCTTTTGCGACTGAAGCGGCTTCCACCCATTTGAACACGAAAAGCTGAGTTACATCGCTTTCCCTGCGCTGAGATTCTTTGACTGGCTGGGAAGCACTGTTTGCACAGGGAAGCGTCAAATGAGCGCATTTCGCACCACACACTGTCAGGGATTTCTTGTTCTTCTTCATTGGTCAAGTAGACGACACCTGGCAAGCATCTGGGCAAACAGGTTAGACAACTGGACCGAACCAGTGGTTTACACGTTTCAGCTGGAGGCACTAGCCAACTTCACGGTTGCGCAACACGTTGCAGTATTTTTTTTGGGTCCTGCAGACGTGTGCATCGAGGGCGTCCCCAAGTGTCGCTATATTATTGACTCGGAGAAAGTGCCTTGTTACAGTTACGATGTAACTGGTAGGGTAACTAATGATTAGATTTCATTTATTCGTACGATATATTATATTTTTTTTACGGGTTTTCATTTAGCGTTTAATAATAGATTCGTGTGCATTATTAATATGATTATTTATTGCAAATACTAGGCGACAGGGTTACAGAACAAATCACTACGACACACATGCTACGACACAAACACTGTTGCAAACACATGACATCCTACGCGTGCTCAAAAGGTGACGCTTATGGACCTTGCAATCCAGGCAACCCTTCGCATGAAATAAACACCCTCTCGGTGCCAGCATGAAATTTCCAAGCAGCCTTATCAGCCTCCCACCACGGGCCCGTAGCGGCGGTCCTGTTCTGAACCGCGAACGCGACGGCATTGTGGACTTTCGAATGTTGAATCGTCAATGCATTTCGATTGTCAACCGGGCTGCGCGGCATTTCGTCGCCGTTGATCAACTTGTATTTGACCTTCAACGAGCAATGGGTTGTGGTGATCATGACGTCTGTCGGAAACCAGCGTCATGACACCGCAACTAGACAAAACACCTTGTTAATACAGCAACCCAAATGGCTCTACATAGCCCCAGCAGAAAGAACGCAAGCTGCTTGAATCGGAGCACCACAAAGGAGTGCCCCGGTCTCTGAAACGAGTGGAAGACTGCAGCTATGAAGAAGTCCGTTGAGAAGGGCAGCCCATCGTCATTGAAGTGCCACTTCAGCAAGCCCCATGAATGCGCATCTACTCAACAGTGGAGGTGGTAATGGGGGGAGAAAAGACGTGTTGGTGAATGCAACAGATTGAGTGGGTGGGGGCAGGTGTTCCGAGAGGGGGAAAAGAGGGTGGGAGGCGCTGCATAAACACGCAGAAATGGCTGCCACTGCAGTGGCGTTAAGGGTGTGCCTACTGGAAGTGGAGGGTGGGGGTACAAGGGTGGAAAGGGCAGGGTTAGTACGAGGCACTAGGGTTTAGCAGTGAAACACGCAGCCAAGCCAGGTGCACTACAGTAGTGTGCATGTGTGCCTGCTGGAAGGGGAAGGTGGGGGAACAAGGGAGGGAGGGGCTAGTTTTAATGAGACACAAGGGCCTTGTGAATCACGCAACATTGGCAGGTGCACTGCAGTTTGGGCTCAGGTGCACCTGCGGGAAAGGGAAAGGGGGGGTGCGCAAGGGAGTGAGGGGCTGGTGAGAACGAGGCACAAGGGCCTGGTCCCGCAGAAATGGCATGTGCACTGCAGTTTGCCTGCAGGTGCGCCTGCTGGAAGGTGGGGTGGGGGCACAAGGGAGGGAGGGGCTGGTTAGAACGACGCACACGGCCCTTGCTGTGAAACCCACGGCAATGGCAGGTGCCCTCCAGTTTGCCTGCAGGTGCGCCTGCTGGAAGGGGGGGTGGGGGCACAAGGGAGGGAGGGGCTGGTTAGAACGACGCACACGGCCCTTGCTGTGAAACCCACGGCAATGGCAGGTGCCCTCCAGTTTGCCTGCAGGTGCGCCTGCTGGAAGGGGGGGTGGGGGCACAAGGGAGGGAGGGGCTGGTTAGAACGACGCACACGGCCCTTGCTGTTAAACCCACGGCAATGGCAGGTGCCCTCCAGTTTGCCTGCAGGTGCGCCTGCTGGAAGGGGAAAGTGGGGGCACAAGGGAGGGAGGGGCTGGTTAGAACGACGCACACGGCCCTTGCTGTGAAACCCACGGCAATGGCAGGTGCCCTCCAGTTTGCCTGCAGGTGCGCCTGCTGGAAGGGGAAAGTGGGGGCACAAGGGAGGGAGGGTAGTTTTAATGAGACACAAGGGCCTTGTGAATCACGCAGCAATGGCAGGTGCACTGCAGTTTGGGCTCAGGTGTACCTGCGGGAAAGGGAAAGGGGGGGGTACAAGGGAGTGAGGGGCTGGTGAGAACGAGGCACAAGGGCCTGGTCCCGCAGAAATGGCATGTGCACTGCAGTAGCAAAAGAGGGGTGAGGCAGGTGTGGGGGTTAAGAAAGAAGGCTTCGTCTTACCAGCTCTATGTTCGGCACAAAAGGCTGCAGAAGAGAGGGTTCCGACCACTTCCCTACCACGATCCGGTCGAGCAATACGGATGTGGAATCGCTCGTACAGCATCACACGGCCCATGGTGTGGACCTTGTTGCGGGCATCTTGCTGCTGCTTTCGGAGGTGGGACGGGCGCGTTTTCTCATTCTCCATGACCAGCCGCACTTTCGCCACATAGTCGGCGTCGGTTATACCGATAGCGGTGCACAGTGCAGTAATATTGGTGTCCCACGGCGTCCAGTACTCATGGTCAACGTCTGGCGTCTCGAAGTACATGATTTCCACTGCACGTCTCGCCGCTCCCTGACCACGGAGCAAGGGGAGTTTTGGGTGGAAGGGGGGAAAGATGAAGGGGAGGGGAGTGGGGGGGAGGGGCGGGGAAGGGGTTGGGGGAGGCGGGAGCTTAGGATGATGGGGCGGATTGGGATGGGTGTGAGGTGAAGAGGCGCAAGGGAAGGTGCATATGCATACCACTCATGAACCTGACTGTTTACATGCAAAATTAGAAGGGTTCACACGAACCACATCCACAACAAGCATACACCCAAACCAACGGACCTTAAAACCGTTGTGAATATCGGGGACGCCCGCCAAGGCGGCGGCGTACCGGTGAGCCCACGTCAACTGCATGCTTGACAGCTGCTGCAAGTCCAGTATGACACCCCGCTTGTGCGCCAACTTCACAGCATTTTGGATCGCGTTTCGGTTCGGCTCCACACGAATGACGCTGGGGACCGGCGTCAGCATAGTAGCGGCTGCCACACCGTCATTGCGCGTTGCGATGCCACCCGCACCTGCCTGCCCACTCCCATCCAGCGGCGCATCCTCGGCTTGGCCAATGCCGGGGGAGTTTGCCAGGTTGCTGCTGCCCTCTCCTCCATTGTTGGTCGGTGAGTTCGACGCAGCACGCTGCATGTCACGACGTTCGTTCTCATACTCCATAATGCGGCGCCGGAACTCACGGTTCTCCCTTTGCGTGTCCTCAAATTCGGCTCGAGTAACATTGTCGATGACCTCGTTCCCCTCCTCTGCATCGGTATCTGCCGACAAAGGCACAAATCCAGGATTGGGCATTTCTGGCTCAGTCTCCGGAAACCCTTCTGGATCCGCAGGTTGGTCATAGTCCTCCTGGTCTTCGTCATCACTGAGATCAAGGGCCGTGAAACGCCTTGCTGAGTTTGGCTGCTGCTGATTCTGGCCATTCGTTGGGGATGGAAGAGCCGATGAAGCCTGCTGCTGATGCAGAGGCGACGTGGGCTGCTGCTGATGCAGAGGCGACGTGGGCTGCTGCTGATGCAGAGGCGACGTGGGCAGCTGCTGATGCATAGGGGACGTGGGCAGCTGCTGATGTAGAGGGGACGTGGGCAGCTGCTGATGCAGCGGTGCAGATGGCTGCTGCTGATGGAGCGGTTCAGACGGCTGTTGCTGATGCAGCGGTGCAGACGGCAGCTGCTGATGCAGCGGTGCAGACGGCTGCTGCTGATGCAGCGGTGCAGACGACACCTGCTGATGCAGCGGTGCAGACGGCTGCTGCTGATGCAGCGGTGCAGACGGCTGCTGCTGATGCAGCGGTGCAGACGGCTGCTGCTGATGCAGCGGTGCAGACGGCTGCTGCTGATGCAGCGGTGCAGACGGCTGCTGCTGATGCAGCGGTGCAGACGACAGCTGCTGATGCAGCGGTGCAGACGGCAGCTGCTGATGCAGCGGTGCAGACGGCTGCTGCTGATGCAGCGGTGCAGACGGCTGTTGCTGATGTAGCGGTGCAGACGGCTGCTGCTGATGCAGCGGTGCAGACGGCTGCTGCGGATGCAGCGGTGCAGACGGCTGCTGCGGATGCTGGACATTCGTCGGGAAAGGCTGTGCCGCGGTCGAACGCGGCTGTTGCAAAGTCGAGGTCGTATGCGGCTGATGCAGAGGCGATGTAGGTTGCTGCTGATATTGCACATGCGCGTGATGAGAAAGAGACGACGTCCCGTGCTGTTGCAGCACATTGGCATGCGGCTGTTGAGTTGAGGGCGGCTGCTGCTGATGCTGGCGATCAGCAGGCAAAGAAGATGCCGAGTTCAGCTGATGCTGCAACCCAATGGCTTGCTGAGACAGGAAGAGCGTAGGGTGCTGCTGATGCTGGCCATGTGTCCCCACGTGCTGCAGAGCAACACCGACTTGTCTGGCACCAGGCGGCACAGTTGCGCGCCTCCCACCAGTGCGGCTGCCCACAGCGGTCCGAACGGAGTTGGATGTTGTCGAAGTCGGCAGTTGTGTCGATCCTAATAACAACGAATTGAGTGATACTATTCGTTCGCCTGCACAAAATGAATCACGAAGAGCGTCAGATGCGGAACAAGGGCTATAGGCATGGCACATCAAGGACTGCAACCGTGAATTGCAAGGCTCACATTTAGCACGAAACAGAAACGGAAGGCTCACCAGTGGTGGGCTCGGTGGAAGCAGTCGCACCGGCCGAAATTCCAGCAGGGGGTTGACCTAGGAGACGAGCTGATTCCAGTGTTGTTGTGAACCTACTGTGCTGTCCTTTAGTGGGTCGATCTGAGCGTCGTAGCCCCTCAGTTGCCATTGTAAAGGAAAATCAACTTCAGGAAGTATGGAAAACTGACTGAAAGTATGTTTTCCCATTCTACTTATAGGGAAAGCCCCCTTAGCTAAGACACGAAATGAACCTAAGCTCAGATAACAGAGCGTCACGATTGACGAGAGGCCAGGTGATCTAAGGCGTCATGGTTCAGAGAGGTGTAGAGTGGCATCGGCCTTCTCTGATTCAAACTTCGAAAGTTCAAGTTAGGAGTGCTCACGTAACTGCTCTGCGGTCGTATCTGCGGTGTCGCGCGCGGGGTACGTGATTCAACCGAGACAGACGAGGGCATTGCAGAGTTGTCACCGAACAACTTTCCCCAAAGTCCCGTTGGTGTGGGGTGAGGTGAGCTAGGGTTTCACGCTATGGTCGCCATTGGCTGGCGATTGCAAGTGCGTTCCCTACACGGGGTCGTTTTGCAGCAATGCCACACAAACGGTGTGGGTCAAGTAGCTGTCGAGCCGCAAACGACCCTGTACAACTGTGAACTCACTAAGAAGCAGATCAATCGAGAAGTAAAAAATGGCATGCTTAAGGTGATTACACTAAAAAGGTTCCTATGAATGTTGCCATAATGGTATCCCAAAATTCGACTAAGTGTTGCAAGTGGAATGGCTGCAATTGATTAGGTTTCCAAACCCAGTATGGAATTGAAGTAGTAACTGTTAAAAGGAACAAGAGTGTTTGAACTAGAAAGGTTGGGGATACAAGTAGGAAACCCTAGAGTAATGTACCCCCTAAAGGCTAACCCACTGTAGCCTACAGAGCAGTGACATATATAATGTTTGACACACCCCCATAGGCAAAGTGGGGGAGAGCAAGGGGTCACAAGACCAGTTAGAGCAAAGCAAAGCAAAACAAGCTCAGGGTGGATCTCAAGGATACCACACAAATTCCGAGCACAAGCAAGCGGTCACAAGACCAGTTCACATGCAGTTTGATAATATAACAAGAGGTACAGTGATCACAACCTAGCAAGTGTAAGCATGCAGGTATATATATAGAGATCACAGTACAAGCAGGGTCAAGAAGTGAGCAAGTGAGGGACAGTAGGCACAAGGCCTAGAACAGTACAGAAACGCTGATGATCACAAGGCGGAAGCGCCTTGGTGAACACATCAGCAGTGTTGGCCCGAGTGGCCACGTACGAAAGACGAAGCTGACCACGCTGCTGTAGCTCTCGAGCAAGGAAGTAGCGCAGAGCGATGTGCTTCGTTCTGTGCTCCAGTCTGTGCTCCTGACACAAGGCAAGGGCGGCCTTGTTGTCGACGTACAGCACTGGAGGAGAACGAGGCCGCTCTCCCAGGTCGGTCAGCAGGTAGGTGAGCCAGCGTAACTCCTGTGCAGCCATGGCTGTGGCGTAGATCTCAGCCTCATAACTGGAGCTGAGAACTGAAGACGAGCGAGTAGAACGCCAAGAAACTGAACCACAGCCAAGACTGAAGGTGTAACCCTGAGACGACCGCTGCGTAGCCTGGTCGTCAGCCCAAGAAGCGTCTGAGTGCCTAGTGAGAACAACGTCTCTCCGTCCTCCAAGCACAAGCCCCATGCCCGACGTACTGCACAAGTAGCGCAACACCCTCTTAGCGGCATCCATGTGCTCCTTCCGGTGACGGCCAGGAGCGACATAGCGTGCTAGGATGCTAAGAGGGTATGCAAGGTCAGGTCGAGTGCAGGTCATCAGGTACATGAGGCAGCCCACAAGCTCTGGATACGGGCCACTCGGCTCTACGGACTCATCCGAAGGCAGAGCTGAGAGCGAGTGACCGGTAGGCAGAGGAGTGGGCTCAGGCGAGGAGTACGTGAAGCGGAAGCGCTGAAGGACCTGCTGCACCATGTGTGACTCAGTCAAGGTGATGGTGCGCTGTGCTCTGTCCCGGGTGATCCGCAAGCCAAGATAGCTTGTCAGTTCACCCAGGTCTGTGCACGTGTGTCTCTTCTGCAGCTCCGACTTCACGTGGGCGAGTGCCTCAGTGTCAGCAGTAGCAAAGACCAGGTCGTCTACGTACACTAGAACGTAGAACGGCGGCAGAGTGGTGTCGGTGCGTAGAAACAGTAACGGGTCAGCAGTGGAAGGAGCAAACCCAAGAGCAGCAAGAGTCGTCCTCAGTGTGTCGTGCCACTCACGGGGTGCCTGGCGGAGACCGTAGACTGGCCGCCGGAGGCTCCACTGGGTACCAGGAGGGAACGACCCAGTGAAGCCAGGTGGGCGGCGCAGCCAGATCTCCTCGTGCAGGCTGCCCTGTAGGAACGCAGTGCTGAAGTCAAGAGAGTGGAGCTCGTAGTCACGCTGAGCGGCGACGTGCAGCAGAACCTGAAGAGTGGTCATCTTCGGGGTCGGGGAGAAGGTCTGGAAGAAGTCAACTCCCTCTCGCTGACTGAAGCCTCGAGCAACGTACCGCGCCTTGAAGACAGGCGGAGAACCCGGTGGCCGCTTCACTCTGAAAATCCACATGCCACTGACGATGTTCGCCCCAGGTGGGGGAACCTCGTCGACGTAGGTGCCTGTGGACTTCCAGGAAGCCATCTCTGCGTCCATGGCTGTCTGCCACTGAGAGGAGTAGGGACCCTCCATCGCCTCTGCGTAAGAGCGTGGGGTCGGGATGTCTGGTGCATCCGGGTCTCCCTCAGGGGCAATCAGCATGGACACGAGATGAGGTAAAGCAGCAGCAAAGCACTCAAACTCCTCCTGTCTGTCCTCAAGGACGTCCGTGCCAAGAGCACACTCACCCCCGACGGACGGAGGACAGACAGACTCAGACTCAGCAACAAGGCTAGCGGCGTAGTCTAGACGACAGGCGGCAGCAAAGTCAACAAGCTCAGCGACTAGAGCAGACGCAGCAGAGGACTCAAAGGTAGGGTCAGTGACAACAGTAGCGAGGAAACGCGTGACAGTAGGACTGGCCGCACGAGCAAGGTCTGATGGCGGGTCAGCAACGTCAGGAAGAGAGGACGCAGGAGGAGACGGCAGAGGGACACGCTGTGGAGCAGTGGAAGGACGCAGGGTCATATAGTGAGTGCCAAGGACAGGAGGAGGACGATGACGCGGAGCACGACGACCAGCGCGGACAACGCGGACAGGTGACTCTGGATGCGACTCAGGCGACTCTGGACTAGACTCAGGCGACGGAGGACGAGACTCAGGCTCACGACGCTCCGTAAAACTACCTGTCGGCGCAGTGTAAGGAGAAGGACCAGGCAGCGGAGAGGCAGGCTGTAACTGTGACAGCGACTGGACAGGCGGTGGACTCAGTAGAGGAGGAGTAGGACCAGTAGAGGGCGGGAGACCAAGAACCTGCTGAAGAAGCGGAACGTAGTACGGCCGCGGCCGCTCAGCACCTCCAGCTCCAACCCCCTCAGCAGCTCCAGTCCCAGCAGCTCCAGTACCTCCAGTACGAGCACCTCCACGACCAGCGGCTCCAGCAGCACCAGCACCAGCAGCACCTCCAGCAGCTCCAGCAGCACCAGCACCACCAGCACCTCC